CTTCAACACAATAACTCCTTTTGCTTTATTATCTTTATGTCGGGACCTAAGACAGTGATCGTATCTTTAAATCTTTTAACACTTTGTCCCCCGTATTGAGTCCCGTAGACTCGATTCTCGGCGCTCGTAACGGCCCGGGGACCAATAGGCCACGCGACGCGGACGGCCGCTCTGGATGGCTACTGGTTGCGAATTGATGTGGATGGCTCCGGGCCCCCTTTATATACCCAGGCGACCTGTCAACTTTGATTGATGGCCTTGGCAGCAGCCAAACCGCTAATCGCACGGATTCCGCGATTAGCTCAAAGTTCGCCGCGTAACCTCCTAGTTTAATTCCCCTAGGGCAGAAGTTCGGGGAGGCTTTCGTTTAACAATGGTAACTTGTAAAATCCCCCCTCTCCTTTTACAATTTGCCTTATTATTCTTGAACGTAGATAGTTATATAAATTTTACAAACGGGGACCGATATGTCTACCCGTCGCGCAACGACGCACTATCCCGCATATTCGACTTCGACCGGGTTCTCGGTCAATTGGTAATAACAAATTCTCAATTTTGATCTTCACGTGATCGGCGACTAGGGCGTTCGTGTACATTCCTCAGTACGAATCTAGCCTTCAAATTGCAGCGTCGCCGGTCCATTAGTTAAGGATTTACAAAGTCATGAATCATTGACACCTGTCAACGATTTATGCTGTAACATATGGTATCGGAGGCGTTCGCTCGAGAAATCGGTTCTCCTCGCGACGCTGATACAGAATCCGAAAACAGAATCTTATTATCTCAACGCGTTTTCGAGAAAATCACATGTCTGGCTGCACTTGTTGCATGATCGAAGCTTCTCGATAACCTTGGGCGGCACCTGCCGGCCGTCCCCCTTCGGGCCCGACTGCAGCGGCACGTGTCGACCTGTCAGCGTTTGATTTATGGTTTCTGTAACTTCTTTATTAACAATCGTAGAACATTTAAATTGGTCGGGTTTTTTAGATCGTGGCTGTATTAGTCATCTCACTACTCGTGGACGCTGGCGGCGCATCCCCCGCTTTGTTATTAAATAAAAACAATATTATTCTGCTACAATTGCCGTAATCGCGATAGTCAAATACCCATCGATCGCTAATAAATTCTAGGGTTTTATTAGACACGAATACACGCTGCCTAACCCTTTAAATAACCATTATACAAGCGATTAATAATGGGTCATCGTCATGTACCCATCGATACGCAATTCCGTAGTGCGAGAGCTAAGAGGTTCGGGAATTTTCCGCTCGCGACAGCATCTCCCAGACGCGGCACCTCGCGGCTATGCGCATCGGTGCCGTAGCGCTCTTTCTGTTTGGGAGGTTCGCCGCTAGATGGCGTTAGTATCGCTCCCGCTTGCGAGAGACCGCGGCGTATTCGTGCACATCGGTTCGGGCCTTATAAATCTCCTCGGCGCCGCGTGGTTTCGCGCCACGCAGGGTCGGCTTCCCTTCCCCCGTCGGCTCGTCCCATGTATTGAGGCGTGCCGCCTCGGTTAATCGAGCGAATGGGCCCCAACCTCCGGGCCGTGACTCACGGCGGCCGGCTAGGCCCACTCTCGTTAATCGGCCGCTAGTGAATGGCGCCGGGGCCACGTGGTGGGCTCCCCGGCGCGCGGCTTACTACTCTTACTACGCTCGGACTCTAACCGCTTCTCGCGGCTCTATCTGCGGATTAACATTTCGTTTAATTAATACGATAATTGGTGCGACGCGCTCCCAGCGGATTACGTGTCCGACACTTTAACTCGGATCTATCTAATAATGCGCGCGTTCCCAGCGGTCTACGCGTATGATCCTATTATTAATGATTCCTCTATGCGACGCGCCCCTAACGGAATCGACGTCTAATACTCGCGTTCAATTTCGCGGTTAACGCGCGGGTGATTCGCGTTCAGTAGTATTGGAACCACTATGCTACTACTAAACAAATGACTATACTAAACAAATGACGTCACCGGCGCCGAGTCAGCCTGTGACGTCACGTTACGTCACGTGCCCCCACTCTTCTCATTTACCATAGTGCCAAGAGTGGTGGGGGTACGCTAGAGTGCGAGACGCGAAAGATAATAAATGTGTATTTATTAATTTTTATATATATTTTTTTTGTTTGGGAAATTCTATTAAAAAGTATAAATATTTTTATTTATGAAATCCATGGAGATGAAGCGCTGCATCAAGTGCAATTCGGTAACGGCGGCGACGAGGAGGATCCGGCCATGCCCGGGCTGATTCCCGCCGGAGAAGAAGAATGGGCTCGTAAACCAGCACGGCGATGGCAGTGTCATTCAGCCGTCAGCCGACGTTAGCGGAGATCTACAACAAGAATCCAAAAACGAAAATTAACATATGAACACGCACGCACGCACGCACGCACGCACGCAAAAGCAAATTAAAATAGGTGCATGCACGCGCTAAGAAACGCACATGCACACATGCAATTACCGATTCAAGCCTGCGGGTGTGGCTGCGTCAGCTGACGGCGGAGTACCTCGGCATCGTAAACGACGGCGTTGATCATCACTCAGACACTGCCATCGCCGAGCACAATGGTAAAGACCCCATTGCTGTCGTCGGCCATGTTTAAGAGTCTTAGCCGAATCTCGATGAGATCCTCATCCGAGAAGTCCAGCCAACTCATCGGCACCCAGGCAGCCGGTGTCAGGGGCCACCTTCTCACGCCGCCCGGGAAGTCGCGGATCTCAAATACCTCCCGCTGTCCTTCTTCTCCGGCGGGAATCAGCCCGGGCATGGCCGGATCCTCCTCGCCGCCGCCGTTCCCGAATTGCACTTGATGCGGCGCTTCATCCCCGATATTTTCATCACGGCGGTGAGCACTGCCCGAATCGCGAGGTGCCACCCCGTACGTTATCAGATTCTAAAAAAATCCGTAATGCAATCCCGCGCATGCACGCACAACACAGACATTTGAAGAGGTGTGAAAGACAGCCAGATCAGTCAGCAAATTTCTTAATGTCCCCCATATTCGTGGAAGGAGATGTATAATGCGGAATAAGATTATACAGGTTTGGGAAATATAGCGATTAACACCCTGAGCCATCTTCTGCTAATATTTTGGAGAACCTATGGCGAATTTTTTTGTTTCGTTTAAGAACAAAAACCGAGGTAAGCCAAGTACCGGCGATGAAAAGGTAATCCCCAAAGCGCGAATCAAAGGAACAGCCGTTCTAAGTTTCGGTAACCTGCGATACGACGGAGACCGATATCACCTACGCGACGATAAGAATCGAAGCTAAGGTCCTTATCGGATGTATGAGGTTACATAGCGTTATACCATCTTTGAATGTAGAGCGTCAGCAAAAAAAAAATACATAGCGAGAATTCTTTGCTTGCGGAATTGCTCTAAACAATATAGAAGACGCAAACGTTGATTGACTCGAAGCAGTATAGTCTCGATCGACATTTTAAACCAGAGCAGCCATTGCCCTGAGTCTCGCTTGCCTGCGGTAAGGTGAATCCGATAAGAATCGACGCTATCGGTCCTTGTCCGAGGTGTGGAGTTACATAGCGCTCTGCCGCCTTCGAATGTACACTAGCGAGCATGAATACCTCCAATGGTGCATCAGCGGCGCTGTACTCTCCAAGGACGGCATTCATGTTCACCGCTGTACAATGCCGACTGATTTAATTGGAGAGACAGTCGCGCTCTGAGATTCGGCCTCGTGTTCCGAGGAACCGCGAATTGTATTTTTTTTCCATCAGGAGAAATCATTTTGAGGAAACATCTATGATGGATAACGAAATAAAACTGTAACGATCGTCGCTAGATCGTGAATTGCGATGCTTTCGTTTTTTTTGTTTAAATATGTAGCGAGATGGCCGCGCGTGTGAGCGTGCAGCCATTCCGGTAGAGTTACTGACACCAAACCTCGCAAACTCATATGAAGATCATTCCAACAATATAGAAAACGCAAACGTTGATGCGTCCTGAATCATCTTTCTAAGGTTGTTATACAACGTCTTATGCTCGAAAAGTTACTTCGGTCGTCGCTCGTACCTCGGTAACATCGAGTTAATTAAGCGCGTTTGAGATTTTGGTTCCCTCTCACTCTTACGAGTATTTTATCGGTGAGAGTACAACCACGCATTGTTCGGTTCCGAGTACAATCACGCATCGTGCGGTTTACTCGTACTGTCCTAAAAAGAAAAATTTAAATGGAGGGCAAACAGGTGCTCATGCGTTTCATTTTTGCTCTATTGAATTTGGCTGCTCCTTTAAGCACCCACTTGCAGCGCATATGCAATGAGCATTGGCGTCGGAATCTGAGGTCCGTCGGTGTTTCGGCGTTACAAAGGAAATTGCGATACGTGTTGCGACACTGCGGCATGAGAACCATCGTTCGCGCGTGTCAACGCGGGGTGTTTTCGGGAAGTGCCGATTTGCTGGAAACGCTCACGCTCCTTCTTCAAGAACGGGGCCTGCTCGATACGGTGCGCCCTCGAACTCAGAACCTGCGACTATTTTCAAAGAACGGTGACGACGCCGAGCTATCCGCACCCGGTCCACCTGGTATCGCCGACGGAGAAGCGGTCAACAACGGAGACGATATTCCCGATATCCCGGATGACGCGTACTCAGTAATCGTCAGCTCCCTCGATAGCGCGATTTTCACGGATGGAGGAGAGGATGGTTTTCAGACGTTTTCAAAGAATGACGGCAGCGGTTATGAGCTAATCGCTTCTGGAGCGGGATCGACCGGTTTCGCAGACGAGGAGGTAGCGGACATCGTAAACAATATTTCCGATATCCCGGATTTCGCGTACGGATTGATCGTCAGCTCTCCCGATAGCGACGTTTGCACCGATGGCGAGGAAAATGCGGCGGTATTGGTCGAGCGTGGATCCGACGAACCGGGTCCATCGAGCGAGAGATTCGTCGTTCACCGCGCCGTTGACGGCGACGAGGACGACGAGGACGACGAGGACGACGAGAGAGAGAGGAGAGAGAGAGAGAGCACGATGGCCTTTCTACACGTGCATTCGCACGAGTGCTTGAGATCCGAACTTAGCCTCTTCTCGTTACCACCGACGCAAACGACGATCGAGAATTCGCAATGGGTACACTACAAACCCATTTCCTCGTTGAGCGATGACTCACCCATCGAATTCGTCGTGACAGGACACGGCGATGGATACCTCGATCTCGCTCACACGATGCTCAGTGCTCGCGTTGCGCTACAACCCGTAAATTCCGATATCGAGGTCAAAACTCTCAAAAATGTGGAAAACGTCCGCCCTATCAACAATCTTCTGCACTCTATGTTCAACCAGGTGGATGTATTCTTCAATCAGAAACTCGTGTCACCGCCTAATAACGCCTACGCGTACAGAGCGTACATCGAGACCCTCTTGAATTACGGATCGGATGCTACAAAATCGCATCTTACGAGCTCGCTGTGGTACGGCGATACAGCCGGTAAGATGAACTGCGTAGACTGCGATAACGAGGGTCTCAAACGACGCTGCGCTTTGGCCGGCGTTGGGAAGCCTATCGATCTTATCGGATATCTACACTGCGATATCTTCAATCAAGATCGATTTTTGCTAAACGGTGTAGAGATACGATTGCGTCTAGTGCGCAGCCGCGACTCGTTTTGTCTCATGGACTCGACGGACTCGTTTAAAGTACACATCCTAGAGGCGACTCTGCTCGTGCGCCGAGTAAACGTAAACCCCGGAATACTGTTGTCTCACGAGCGCGCGCTGGCTAAAACCATGGCGAAGTACCCGCTCACGCGTGTAGAGGTGAAGGTCATGTCGATGCACGCCGGTTTGCACGGCGAGACACTGGACAACGCGATTTTCGGCCAATTGCCGAAACGAATCATTCTCGGTTTCGTGGATAACAGAGCCTTCAATGGCGATCGCAAACTCAATCCTTTCAATTTTGCGCACTACGATATCAATTATCTGTCTCTGTATGTGGACGGTATTCAAGTACCGTCGAAACCTCTACAGCCGGATTTCACCAAGAATCGTTTATACGTGGACGCGTACCACACGCTGTTTTCTGGTACCGGCACGCATTTTCTCGATCAAGGTAATTGCATCGACCGGGAAAAATATCCCGATGGCTATTGCCTCTTTGCCTTTGATCTCACACCCGATCTCTCGGCCAATGAGAACTCTCATTGGAATCTCATCAGACACGGCAGCGTAAGAATCGAGGTGCGATTCGAGAACGCTCTGTCGTCGACGGTAAATTGCACCATTTATGCTGAGTACGAGAATGTTCTGGAGATAGACGCATCGCGCCACGTCCTGGTAGATTTCAACGGCTAAGCATAGTGAGAGAGAGAGAGAGAGAGGTGGGGAAGACAGCGCATTTTTTCATAAAATTTACGCGGACATCGCAGTGTGTGGTCGCGCTCAGTCTCTCGAGCGACTTTGTTAACCATGGACCTAGTAATCGACATCCAAGGTTTCCTCGACATCGAGGAACTCTTCATCCCGAAGGAGGTAGCCGTGGTCGCTGTGCATAGCGAGTTTATCGCGCATTGGATCGTTGCACCGCCCTACCCCTTCAACGATCTACTGCCTCACTCTCGCTCGCAAAACAATTGGCTGAGCAGGCATCATCATGGAACAGAGTGGTTCGACGAGGATATATCGGCCAAAAAGTTGTACGAAAATCTGCAGGCCATCACCCACCATACCGGCCGAATATTCGCGCGTGGGCGCGAGAAGGCTAATCTCCTGCGCAACATTATGAACCGGGAGATCGTCAATCTGGAGGAGTCGGAGGAGTGCCCCTCATTCAAAAATCTTCCTCAAGTCGGCGATCAGTGCGTATACCACGGTGTACGCAAAGCAAACAAATATTTTTCGTATTCGCTAAATAACGCGAAGCGTATACGCGAATGGTTGGTTCGTCAGAGGGATCCTCAGCAAACGGACTGTCATCCGAGTTGCGCCGTTTGCAGCTCCACCTCCTCCACCACGGTGTCGGCGGATACCGTCCTCCTCCAGGAGTACGAGCGGAAACCTACCGAGCTAGGTAACGAAGGGGTGGACGAGCCAGACGGCGACGGTGTCTGCGCCACTTCGTGAGCAACGAGGGCTCGTTATTATTATTGTTATTAAATTGAACGGAGGTACAAGTACGAACTTCATTCGGGAACAATCCGCCCGGCGGTCAACAGCGGTCAAACGAAAAAAACGATTTCGCTGCGTACGCCCCATCCATGAACAGCGTGGAGATTCGCGAGGCATTGAGTGGACTACCCTCCTGGACTATCGGCGTGTATCCGGCCGACGAGATACCGAAGGTATGGTCCAAACCGGCATTTCTCGTGGTCAACACCGATGATCACACGAAACCCGGAACCCACTAGATCACCATGCACGTCGGCAGAGATGGGCGAGGATACTACTTCGACAGCTACGGACTGCCGCCTATCGTACCCCAACACTTGGAAATACTCCGAAGAAATTCCCGATATTTCGATTTCAACAATAAGTTGCTTCAGAGCGAGACTTCCGACATTTGCGGGCAATTCTGCGTGGCATTTCTGCATCTCATGTCTAGCGGTTGTAGCCTACATCGATTTCAGCGTTTATTCACGCGGGATACTGTAAATAACGATAAGATAGCTTGCGAATATTATGCCGCGTACGTAGCTAGTCGAAAGGAGCGAAATAGTGTTTATGTTAATTGCGTTAGTCATCATCAATGTAGTCAGGGCTGCTGTTCTAAACGCAAACGATGGCAGTAAATAAATAAATGTATTCCTGAAGTACCTCCGTTTATTCTAAATAAAATTGAAAAATGTATGTATAGTCATAATCTGCTGTTAATTATTAAAAAAAGGAATCCAACCTCTGTCGTTCCCGAATGCACTTCTCAACTGCGCCGGAACGTCCACGAGCGTATCCTCGCGCATGGAACGTGCCGTCAACGCGATTTTTTTTTTTTGGCTTTGCGCGCGTCACCGATGATAGTCAACCGAAACCGTAAGTATCGGTTAATCGCCGCTGCATCGAATCATCCGAAGAAGAAGAAAGACGGATACCGAGCTCTTGTCCTTGGAAGTTTGTCTCCACAACTTTGCAATTTCGTTGAAACCCTACCGCTGAATCGCCAGTTTTTAAATTCAACGTCGTTCTCGAGACGACTGGGGGTAAGCTGACACCTCGCGAGAAGGTAATTTTTGAATTCATCCATTCCGCGTGTGCAATCTCCATGACAACGGACTTTGGACGAATAGCATAAATCGACGCGCAAGCAGTATTCTACGGATACTATAAATACCGAGAAAGCACCCCGCGTTCCTCATTATTCGACAGTTAGACGTCGGATTAAACGGTGGAAAGTAAGCAAGCGACGATGACGACGATGACCACGATGAGTCATTCATCTCGAGATGAGTACGTGCTGTCGAGCTTTTACGTCTTGAATTTTTCGTACTCCAAATTCATACGAGTCGGACTGCGGCGGACTACCCTGGACAAGAATGGAAAGGACGTCTTCGTGGCGACGGTTCGGCGGAGAAATTCCAGCGGCCTACACGGAGTGACTTTCGGCATCGAGGAGTGGCGACGACTATTGGAGGAGAGCTTTGAGAAAATTACCGCGTACCTGGATTTCGACGACTACCAATCGCTCGAGCAGCCGATGCTCACGGAAAAGCATACGACGCTGCTGACCGTCTGTATGGGCGGTAAAGTTGTCATCTTCGATAAACGAGTGTCGAAGGATGCATCGGCGGAGCATGGAGCTAGCAACGCTGGTGAATCGCCGAAGAAAAAACGCAAACACTACGAATCTACCGTCATTCTGAAGAAACCTACATTCGACGGATTAAAGAGCCTTCGGTTTACCGTGGATCTTCGACTCCGTTGCCTCGAACAGCTCGTCGATGCCGCCAATGTGTGTTGGACCGTAATGCGAGGTAACTCCGGCCAAGGGCGCGAACAACTTCGAGACATCGTCATCGGGGCCGAGGAACTCAAGAAACACAAGGTGTTGGAACATCCGTTCTTCGTCGAGACTGTTTTCGAGGAACTGTATACCCTTATATAAATATTTGTCATTTAGTTGAAAAAAAAATGAATATCAATTTAATTATTATTAATATGATTTCTTTCATTTAACCTTAATAAACCTGGGCGTGGCGCATTATAGGGCAGCATACTCGACACCAGATGTTGTAGCGTAAGACATGAGACATTTAATTCAAATCATCGGGCGAGTGGGCCATCTTTCCATTCAGGTGAAAAGACGCTCGCGTAGCCCTCCTACCTCGTAATGGCCGCTCTCGCTAGCGGTGATATGAGGAGCCTTAAATCGCCCTTCGAATCTCTCATTCAGGCGTAACACGCTCGCGTACGACTGACCCTCCTACTTTGTAATGGCCGTTCTTACTACGGAGGAATTTCATTCAGGTGATAAGACGCTCGCGTACGCTCACCCCTCCTATTTCGTAATGGCCGCCCTCGCTATCGGCAGCGCCCGTGCCTCTTTGGCATGGCCGCTCTCGCTATCAGCGATACGCGGGGCCCTGTACATGCCTCTCTCTGTCTCTCTCTCTCTCTCTCCAGCGAGACTCTCTCTCACTCTTTCGCGTCTCGCGCTCTAGCGTACCCCCACCACTCTTGGCACTATGGTAAATGAGAGGAGTGGGGTATGTGACGTAACGCGATGTCACTGGCATACACCCGTCTCTCTCGGGAGATAGTCTTTCTCTCTCTTACTCGCAGCTCGCGCTCTAGCATACCCCCTCTACCGACCTATACATCCCTCTCTCTCGGAAGATCGTCTCTCTCTCTCACTTGCGGCCCGCGCTCTAGCGTACCCCCTCTACTGCCCTATACATCCCTCTCTCTCGGGAGATCATCGTTCTCTCTCTCTCTCGCATTCGCGACTCGCGCTCTAGCGTACCCCCACCACTCTTGGCACTATGGTAAATGAGAGGAGTGGGGGTACGTGACGTCACAGGCTGACTCGGCGCTGGTGACGTCATTTGTTTAGTCTACCCATAGTCGTTCCAATACTACTATCGAAACTTCGAGTGGAGCTCCTGGTCTCCGGTACTCCGTTCCTAGCGAGTCAGAAACCGAGACCGCCGGACTCCCTGCCAAGGACCACTATCCTGCGAGCTGCAGTAGCGCGCCATCCGGTACTCCAGCGATCCCACCACCGAGTCAGGACCAGACGGCGGCACTGCGACTTCCGTTGGGCGGGAGGCTTCTAGAAGACCTCCAACCCTAGGGCACGTCACGGGACGAAGGTGTTCACGCACAGTCATCCGACTGGGTCGATCAAAAGAGACTGTCACCGATTACGGCCGCTGAACAAGCCAGGTAGAGGATCCTTCGCAAGTTCGACTCATCCTCATTTTCAGTCTAGTTTATTTATTAACCCTTCATCTCCGACCATAACCGAATTCTAACCATTATCGCGATTTCCATGCCTTGCTCTGGTTAACCGAATAGATTAAGAATCCATCGATTTCCATTAAACAGCTAAGCTCGAATCTCAGCACCGCGAAACAGAACCACGCGTAGACCGCCATTAAAACAGTAAGAAATTCCCGTATCAGCACTCCGGCGTCCTGTAACCTGCCGCCGCTAAAAGCGCGCTATCGCGACACCTGAACCGCCGCGTCGCGGAAGTATACTAACCTAGAGAAATTAGGTCAAGGCACCTCGGGTGCTCCAGTTTGTAGTTCAGATCTCACGTACGAATAAAAGCAAATCTTAATACACTAGCCACATAGCCATTCGTCCGCACCCCTTTTTATTCCTCACTCCCCTAGATCCCACAAGAGGAATTGATCTAGCCGCTCGGATCAATCTCCTCACAAACTTAAAATAATTGTTACGCGCAAGATATGGGTAATATCCATCTGAATTACCCCGGCCTCGCATCCGCTTGGCCGCCCCGTAACAATATATTGTTAATAAAAGTAATAATTGTATATTATTGTTCAAGTTTCGTAACAAGTATTGAAAATTCATTTTCCACAGATGATTGTGTTGAAGGATCAACGTTCGTAAACCGAAAAATAGACAAACAGTGCATTTATTAATTAAGCTTATTTAAGCAATTTTCAATTATTAACTGCTGAGCAACAATGGTAACTTCGTTGTCCACTGATACTGGTGGATGTTGTGAAAATGACCCTGATTACATTTATACAAATTTTATGCAAGTAATTGTTTGTAAAATTGGTTAATAACTACAGATTGTTGACTGATTTTTTTCTACTCGATCGAAAAGCCCTTTTCGCTTATAAATGTTTGAAATTTAATTAGATAAATTAATAATAAAATGCTGTTGA